GAACAGGTTCCTTGAAGGTTCAGGGTAGCTTTCTGGTACTATTGAGCGTAGCACTCCCTCATCGTTTCTACATGCAGAGCTATACTCTACTATACGCCAGGGTCATATTCTGACAATGAAGGCTCCTTAACTGAAGCCCTGGACCCAAGCGCAAAGCATAAGAAGCCTTAGAGTAAACGTTTCATCGGCTATAACGGTGTAGGGCTCCCTTCAAAGGGGCCATTTTAAGGAACCTATGCTCGTCTTACCTTGGGCCAGGTCATCGGGCGTCCGAATCAGGTGCGTTCTTTGGTGGTTATCATCGCACCTCATACGGAGGCCGCCGATGTAGGGTCTTTCTAAGGGGGGGCTTCTTGAATTCCGGAAGTCTAAGATCAGTCCGTTGATTAGGGCTTTCGAGCCCTCATTGTAGCCCTAACAGCTTAGAGTTTGCGGTTTAGGGACGCTGGACCGGTTCATCCCTGACAATCTCAGTTCCGAAGAACATAAGAGGGTTTAGGGTTTGGGGTTGAGGGCTTAGGGCTCAGAGGGTTTCGGGTTTATGGTTTAAGCCACCTCGCGAGGGTCATTCGGACCCAGCTCTGGATTCCACAACCCCCCGACAGAAAAAAAGTTTCAGGCGTTAGGGTTACCATACCTAAACCCTAAACCCTAGGTTTTAAACCCTAAACCCCAAACCCTAGGTTTTAGGGTTCGGTTTGGAACCGACCCAGGGCACTTGCCACAGAGGGCTCACAAAGCTACGACCTTTGAAGCCTGAAGCTCTTGCAGGCCCTTCGGCGGTTTAGGGTTTACCTGGAGGTAGTAGGGGTTTAGGGGGTAGGATTTAGGGGTTTAGGGTTTAGGGTTTAGGGGTTTAGGGTTTAGGGTTTAGGGGCTGAGGGTTTACTTGGAGGTTCATGGGGCTTGGTAACCCCTTAATAATGGGGTTTAGGGATCTGGGGTTTAGGGTTCAGGGATTTAGGGTTTAGGGTTTACTTGGAGGTTCATGGGACTTAAAAAAGTACAGTTATAAGTGCCTTAATTGGGGTTATAAGCATTTCATAAGAATAGTTACCCTATTGATAACCCTGGTGACTAAGTCCCATGAACCTTTGAGTAGGGTCTGGGGTTCAGGGTCCACAGGTCATGACACCCTCTTGAATCCAACATCCTGCACTCCAAAGTCCACAAAGCCAGCCCTAAACCGTGTCAACGGCCCGAAGTTAAATCCTGAGCCTAAACGGTTAACCCAGAGGGTCAAAGTCCCCAAATAGTCGGGCCTTAGGCCCCCAAATCCATCCTCTGAATGGTTTTTGGACTTTGAAACCCTAAACCCTAAACCCTAAAACCCTAAACCCTAAACCCAAAACCCTAAACCCTAGGCCCTTTAACCCTAAGCCCTAAACCTCAACCCAGCACCCCTACACCACAGGCTCCAAAGAAATACAGCCTGAACAACCTCGCAGTCCGGGCCCCGTTCAAAGGCTTTTCAGGCCTTGGGTTCCAGGTTAGTAGGGGGGAACCACCTATATGGGAGTTTCAGAAAATTGGGGTACCTTATTTTGGGGTCCTTATAATAGGGATCCTTTTATTTAGGGTACTATATTAGGGTCCCCTATTTTCGGAAACCCCCATATGAAAAGGAAAGGCCTGAATCATTAGTTCTGCTGCCCGCTTAGAACCGCATATAATCACACTGTAGTATACCCCCCCCAAACCCTGTTCTCGTCTACAGGCCCCTATATTACGCTAGGTTGCTGGGGTTTAGAGCTTTGGGGTTCAGGGGTATGGTGGTGACCGGTGGAGGGGTTCTGGCTGCTGTCCATCAAGGATCGGATCCGACTCGTACAGGGTTTAGGGTTCAGGCTTTGGGGTTTGGGGTTTGGGGGGGTTAGGGTTTAGGGTTTAGGGTTTAGGTTAGGGTTTGGGGCTTAAGGCTTAATCTTTCGCATGCGCGTGAGGGATCCTCAGGTTGTGCGATGCCAGCTCGTGTCAGAGGTACTGTCTGCCTGCTTCCCTTTTTTTTAGGGGCTCCTTGAAGGGATCTATAGGGTTTAGGGTAAAGGGTTTAAGGTTTAGGGGAGGTTGCATCGCGCCTGTCTGAGCGTTCCGACTAAGCCTAAGCTGCACGGTGGAAGTGGGTCTGGTTATGGTTGCTTTTACCCTGCCTTAGCCCAAAATGGCACCTGGACCTAGACCGTGTTTGCCCCAACACGCAGGAACTGTACCCTAAACCCTAAAGCCTAAAGCATGTGCAAGGTTTTGGGGTCTGAGGTTCAGGTCACAGGGTTTCAGAACGTTTCGAGTCCGGCTTAGTGTAGGGGCCTTAATAGTTATAATAGGGTTTCGGGGGTTCCTTATTATTATGATTATAGTATAATGTACCCCCCAAACTCGACTCTAATTATTAGGGCCCCTGTGTTGCTTGATGTGGAGTTTGGTTTCTGAAGGTCTTAAACCCTAAACCCTAAACCCTAAACCCTAAACCCTAAACCCCTAATTGAAAGGTTTGGGCGTTCGGATCTCACGCGGAGGGTGCACACATAGAGCCCTGTATCCGAGGTAGGGTACCCTGAATTTCCTCAGGGTCAGAAGTGATACCCGCTAGGTTGAAAAGGGTACCCTGAATTTCTTATCGGAGTCGTACCGGGCGCCTCTGACGCCGTCCGGGGCTGAACATGGACGAAGAGCGTGGGGCGGTAACAAACCCCAGTTTGGAGGATGGTGATGTTCAGATTATTGATCCTCCACCGCCTCCGCCTCCCGTTCGGCCAATGTAGTGCGCCACCCTGCGCTCAAGTCTTCACCTCTACTGCTTGCCTTCGGGCGAATTTGGGTCCCGCCGACAACGAGGGGCTGAGTTTCTTATTTCCTGTGTTTTTGGTCCGGCCGAAAACCCAAGGAATAAGAAATCGGGGCTGGATTTCTTATTTCCTGTGTTTTTGGTCCGGCCGAAAACATAAGATATTAATATCCAGGTGCTGAGTCCCTTATTTCCTGTGTTTTTGGTCGGGCCGAAGACCAAGGAAATAAGACATTCAGGGCTGAAGTGCTTATTTCCTGTGTTTTTGGTAGAAATCCCAGATCAAGTCTTCAATCCTCCACCCTTACTATTGCCTTCGGGCGAATTCCGAAACTTTCGCCAATTTGCTGCAGGAGCCTTAAACCGTTCCAGGCAACCGGATATCACATATTTACCTCTACTGCTTGCCCTCGGCAAAGTTTTAAAGCTCTCAGTGTTGTACTCATTCCTGTCCCTTTTAACTTGAAGCTTTAAATCCCGAAGCCGTAATAGCCCAAGTTTCAAGGTACTGTAGCGTGTTTAGGGTCCTGCGTTTCTGGTCTTGGCTGCAGCATTTAAGAAATTGAATAAGAAATTGGGTGTCGGGGGTAGGGGACCCTGAATTTCTTATTTATTTTTGCGTGGTTGTGGCAAATTCTAGCACATGTTCGCCCAAATCCAGGGGCTGGATTTTTTTCAATGTTTTCAAAATCAGTGCGGCTGGTGCTGTACTAAAACCATGATTAGAATGGTCCTTTTGAAGGCCTAGTTCCATAAAGGTAGTACCTTTGGACCTTCTAGGAAGGGTTGAGAGGCTATACAACTCCAAACCAGCGGCCCATAGCCACAGACTGAGCCATAGAAAGAGAGAGATACCGGATAGACTGAGTGTGTACCCAGATCTTCCCCAATCCTGCACTGTAGCCAAGGAATAGGGGTGTTGGGGTTTAGGTTTTCGGATTTAGGGGCTTAGAGTTTAATTTACATCATATCAGGGATCCTGCTATATTTTGGAAGGAGGGTGTAGTATGATGCGTGCTCGTCTCCTTACAACTGGCACCGTGACTGGTCATGGCTGGCGAGGCCAGCGCTACCTCCACCAACGGTGCTGGCACTAAGCGCCCTGGCAACACAGCTGCGCCGAAGAAGACCGCCGTGCCCCGCACTCGCTTCAGCCGACGGGCAAGGTTGTTGCGAACCCTGGTGGCGGCAATTGCATGCATCACTCCATAGCAGCTGCCGAGTTTGTGCACAGTGGGCGCTCTTTGAGTCATCGTCAGATCCGGGCCTACGTCACGGCCAAGATGAAAGCTGATTGCACGGCTTGCTCTGAGCTTTGGATCGGGCAAGGGCGCCCCAGCGTGCAAGGTAGCACACCGAGTTAAGGAACCAGCTTCGAGGACTTCATGGCTGAAGCAGTTTCAGCAAGTGCGCGGAGATGCCCGCTGACCGTTGTCGCTGCCTTCGCCACTCCAGGTTATGGCGAGCCACTGACCGGGCAGATGCCCGGTGCCTGTGGCAGGATGATCGGTGAGGAGGACTCTGCCCTCACCGACAGCGATGTCGAGGCAGAGGAGGAGGTGTACTTCTGGCTGGCAGTGTTGATAAATGCCTACCACGTTCTGGCAACCCTTGAACCATCATTAAAGCATCTAAACCCGAATAAGCCCATACGAACCTCTATATTGCCCGTAGAACACCCCATAGAAGCTTTCTAGATACCCTTGCCCTCAACCACGACAACAAGAGATCCAGAGTCGAGCTCATCTGGTTGAACCACAAAGTAGGCTTTAGGGTTTTGGGTGTAGGGCTTAGAGTACAGGGTTCCGGCGGCCGGGGCTCGAGGTTTAGCCACGGCTTCGCACAAAGGCAAGGGTTAGGGTCGGCTCAGGCTTTAGGGTTCAAGGAAGCATGTTCTGGTAGTCCCTAAACCCTAAACCCTAAATCCTAAACCCTAAAGTTCAATGCAGGGTTCTACCTGCCGGTACATTGAGACATGATGGTCCCCTTGACGTGACCCTAAACCCCAAAGCCGAAGACCGAGGCTGAAACCAATCCGGACGCCCTTTAACCCCCCTATGCTCTAAACTCCAAGCCTAAACCCTAATGTAGGGGCTTAAAGAATTACCTATACTATTTTGGGCGTTCCTTCTTATATTTATACTTTCAAGGACCCCAAAACCCTATTCTAATTATTGAGGCCCCGACATTACACCCGGTGCCCGGCTGTCACAAGGCGACGAACGGCTACAACGGTAATGGATTCCACACTTCAGAGGACAGATCAGCGAGTCCATCCTCCTCAAAGGGTTCCGAAATCCGGCTTAGGGGAATCTTAAAGGTTCTTGGGACGTAGCAAACTAGGGTTAGAAGTAAGGTAACTATACTTACAAGTTCCTTTATAACCCCCAATTGAGGTACTTCTAACTGTACTTCTTAAGTCCCACGAACCTTCAAGTAGACCCTAAACCCTAAACCCTAAACCCTAAATCCCTAAATCCCTAAACCCTAAACCCCAGATCCCTAAACCCCATTATCAAGGGGTTACCAAGCCCCATGAACCTCCAAGATCTTCAACATCCAAAAAATTTTGTAAACAATAACCATCGCCTCCGAACATGGGCCGGATCATCGAGCTAATGGTTGGCCTCGTTTAGGGTTTAGATGTTAGGGTGTAGGGTTTAGGTGTTGGGGTGTAGGGTTTAGAGGTTAGGGTGTAGGGTTTAGAGGTTAGGGTGTAGGGTTTAGAGGTTTGGGTGTAGGGTTTAGAGGTTAGGGGGTAGGGTTTAGAGGGTAGGGTGTAGGGTTTAGAGGTTGGGATGTAGGGTTTAGAGGTTTGGGTTTAGATGTTGGGGTGTAGGGTTTAGAGCTTAGGGGGTAGGGTTTAGATGTTAGGTTTTATCCACCTCCCCAAATGCCAAACCTTGAGCACCGGAATTCGAGTCGCCCCACCCCTTTGCAAGAAGCGCTAAGCCCGAGAAGTTGGGCCTCTCCCTAAACCCCTCAACCCTAAACCCTAAACCCTAAACCCTTCCCGGCAGGCTGAAGCCGTAAGTCCAGGAACTCCGAAATCGGAACATCGCAGTCGAAGTGTCGAGTTTAGGGTTTCAGGGGGCATAGGGTTTAGGGCTTTGCTAAACGATCCCTGCAGTGCCATAAAACCTGTACACTGGGGCAGCAGTTTGGGTATCGAGGCCCCCCCAAACTGATAAAGAGAGAAACATTACTTGGAGGCCCAAACGTCTTCGCTTGTACATCAGAGGGTGTCTAGCCTCATCCACGCTTTGCGTTCAGGTAGGTGCATCTAGATCTGAGGGGCAGGAGATGGCTTCGGGTTCGGGGTTCACGGTTTAAGTTAACCAGACGGAAATCCGCATGACAGCCTGCTGCACCCTAAGCTAGATGCTTGAGGGCCAGGCCCTCCCAGCTATAGGGCCAAAACCCCACACACCCAAGGCCTCCACGTGCGGAGCCATGCAAATATCAGTCGGTTGTCAGTCGTGTCCTATGTCCCAGTAGTCACCCAGCCATCTTCGTTCATGTTTCAGTCCGTCCGCACGATCCCCTCAGCCAGAACCTTAATCCTGAAGCTGCACCTGAGATACTGTAGTTTTTTGATTTTCCAGGTGTAACGGGTTTGGATCCCCAACTAACCTCTATTATCCCTCAAATGTCCTCTATCCTAAACCCTAAACCCTAAACCGTTAACCCTAAACCCTAAACCCTACAAGGACCATCAGAATTTCATTAAAGGGTACTGGGAGGGTGCTGGAAGACCCCGAATCCTGGAAGGAGCCGAAACCGCGACCGTCCCCTTCGGCCGCCTTTACGCCGAAGGCGACGGCAGGCGAAGGAGGACATTTAGGGTTTAGGGTTAAGGGTTTTAGGGTTTAGGGTTTAGGGTTTAGGGTCTAGGGGACAGGTTGGGTTTGTACTTGGACCCTGAAAAAATACACGGGTTTAAGGACTTCTAGGTAAGGCTAGGGACACAGCGATATCTTAAATGACCTCAAAACTGTTGTTGTTGTTGTTGGGTTATTGTGAGGTTGCTGGGATTGCACGAACTTTTGGGTGGGTTTTGTCGGGTTTGTCTGGGAGGTTGTGGGGTTCGTCTGCGGCTTTAGCTGGGTGCTTTTGGTAGTTGCTGGAAAGCGTCTCCTGGAGACCTAAGATCCCCAAAAAAAGCGCTGGGATCCACTAGCCTTGAACAAGCAAAATCAAAGAAGCCTAATATGGGTAGTTCTCTAAATTGGGGTCCGTTTTGGGGTCCTTTTTATGAGGGTGCCGTACTATACTGGGGACCTTTAAAAGGGAGCCCAATTTGGAGAACTACCTATATATCCAGTGTAGCCTTAGTGTTGCGTACACCCAGACCCCGAGTGACCTTAAAAAGGACCCTGTTCTAGCTGTTCAGGCGCTGGTATCATAGAACCCTTCTGGCAACCCTTAAAGGAACCCTGCTTTAGTTACTGAGGCCCCTAGATGGTCTGTAAAGCTTAATGAAGCCACCCCAGAATGAATAATCCTACTAAGTTTTAAGCTGTTTGGGGAGCAGCCAAAGCCCTCGACCGCCGAACTCTGAGTATTTGTTATAAAAAGCTCTGTTATTTTTCTGGAAGTGAGACCTATCTTGAGGTTGGTGTAGAAAGGGAACATCGACAGTTTAGGGCCGCTGTAGGGTTTAGGGTTTGATTCGCAATCGAGCCCCGTTGTGCTTGAAGAATACAGTATCAAAAAAGCTCCGACGCGAGTTGGCCACATATAGCAAAAACAACAACATCCCCGGAGCCCTTATAAAACCGGTGCAAGTTTGGCATCAAAGCTACCATAAGACCATAAGCCCTAAACCCCAATTGTGTTTCTGGGGCTGATCCGTCCTTTTGGACTTCCGGGTTTACTGCCATTCGCTTTAGAGCAGCAGGGCATTGAAAAGTGTTAGCTGGTCACAAATCTCGGAGGCTGAGGCCTGAGAGTTGTCAAGCAGTAGGGGACTTTGGGTTTTTGGGTTTAGGGACTTTTGGTGTGTGAGCATAATATCTTTGTGAATGCAGATGTTGGGTCTCATTATGGTGAGGCAGGAAGATCGCGTTCTTCGTCGTGGTGCACAAATAGGATAGGTAGGGTTGACAGGGCATGGTCTTTATGTGTACGTACTAAATGTCCTGAGCTAGGAACTGAAGCCACTCTTGGGTTCATCGGTCGTAAACATTGCAGAGTCTCGGTTGCTATAGGCAGAGGTTTAGGGTTTAGCGTGCCATGGACCCGTTTGCGGTGAATGCGAGACTTTCAGATGCAGAGGCGGCAGCGGCGGCGGGCGAAATGGCAGCCGGCCAGCATATGTATCGCAGATCTCACGCGACAAAATTGCTGATGCTGCCTGAGATTAGTTTTTATCATATGATGTTTATGTTATGCTTTATCATAGCTTAATATTACCTTATGCTTTGGCAGAGAGAGGTTCCATGGGGCGATTACAACGCAGGCGTGGGCCCCTGTCACCGTGTAGGGTTTAGGATTCATCAAGGGGCGAGGAGCTGAATCGTCTCGCTCCGCAGTGACCTGGGGACGCGACCAAAACGCGACATGATCGCGGCGCTGACCTCATCCCACTCTCAACCCCACACCTTCAACCCTGAACCAGTGAGTCTACACCCCAACCCTGAACCAGTCCCAGATAGCCCAATACCCCTTAATCAAGGAATATACCTTCAATCATAATATTAAGGGGCCCCTAAATTAAAGGTATATTCCTTATTCCTCTGGGAGTGCACACTAGCCAACCTGGAAAGGAGAGAAGGCTCCAGAAGCACCCTCGTCTCCGACAGAGCCGGCGATACCTGAGGGGTGAAGCCGGCTGATTATAAGAGCTCAGAGCTGCGCACAGCGGTCATCATCAAGTTATGAAAGCTAAGACTAAATAATAATAGTAGTAGAAGTAGGAGTAGTAGTAGTAGTAGTAGTAGTAGTAGTAGTAGTAGTAGTAGTAGTATGCCTCCAACGAAAGCAGGACGAGAACCATCATTACCATCGTTGCAGCCCAAAAAAGGCAATGTTGTTCACGTGGAAAACTCCTCACCTGCGATGTTCCCGAAACATGGGGTTCCTGGCTAGTTCGACTTGCTGGACCGAGGTGTGAGTGCATGGTTGCAATACTATTCCGTAGGGCTCCTGTTTCAAAATTATTGTACACTGCTCCGTTTTTCCAGTACCGTAAAATATACCGCAAGCCGCAAGTCTTCTTATCAAGGCCACGCTTTCAATCCCTAAACCCTACAAAAACCTGTATCGGAGCCCAGGAACTTGTACCTGAAAGCCCTAATCACTTACATGATCCGCAACCTCGCACCCTGACACTAACAGCCCAAATCCCTATTAAAAAACCTAAGCGCTAGTGCCAAAGCTGGTGGCGCCAGGCAACTCTTCACGGCCGCGCAAGAATTCCATGCAGTCGCCTGGGTCCTGGAGTCCTGGTGTCTTTCAGACAGTTGCCTGGGGCTGGGGTTAAACCTTCCAGGGTACCTATAGTCTCCATTGTAGTTCCTGTTTGGGGATACCTTGTAACATTCTTAATATGTAATTGTTTAAACCAAAAAAAAGGAACTACAATGGAGACTATAGGTAGTTTTTAACTGTTTGAGTGATTCTGACCTACTATATAGGGTACTATAGAGCCCCTAGGGCCCTACATAGTAGGTACCTGGAGGGTTTGAGAACGTGGTCGTTTTTTTATGTGGAAACGCGCAAGTGGGGGCGCCCCTCTTACTAAAATAAACGGCGCACCCACTGCACGCACACTGTACACGGACCCTAAACTCTAAACCCTAAAGCCCTAAGCCCTAAAGCCCTAAGCCCTAAAACCCTAAACCCCTAAACCCTAAACCCTAAACCCCTAAACCCTTAAACCCCTATACCCTAAACCTTAAAGCTCTGTTGCCTAGGGCCAGGGCGAGCTTGGCCTGAGCATCGGCGATGTGGTGCGGCTTCTCATGGATCCGCAGGCAGGGCTATTTAGGGTTTAGGGGTTCAGGGTTGAGGGGTTTAGGGGTTTAGGGTTTAGGGTTTAGGGGTTTAGTGTTTAGGGTTTAGGGTTTATAGGGTTTAGGGCTAAAAGTTTCGGGTTCATGGTAAGGATTTGGGTCTTATGGTCTAGGGTGTCATGGCTCTCGAGGGTGTTCAATGGCATGATTTTTGCTTTTGTTTCTAGGATCCTACTATAACATCACTAACTGCAAGAAATAGGTACTTTTCCAACAAAAGATTTTGTCAAGTAGGTTACTGAACGGCCCAGAACGGCCCAGATGGAGCCTTGATAATTGATAAGAAGGTTCTTTTCGAGGGTTCTATAAGGGTGATTAAAAGGGCTATATGTTCCAATTGCCTGAATAACTAGAGCTAGGTTTTTGGGGTGGGTGGTACGGCAGCTATAATCTTGAACGCTATAGGAATATACTGCTGGTTAATGATTATTCAAACTTCCCCGTCACGGCCTTAGGCTCAAGATCATGGCAAATTACCGATAGCAAGAACCCTGTAAGCTCCCGGGACTGCAAGTATGGTGAAAACCAGAAAGTTGGAACATTGATTTAGGATGATTACTGCTGGGCTTCCCTACACTGTATTACATTTCAGGGCATTAGGATAAGGATAGTTCCAACTTCGGCTCCTACTGCAGGCCCGGGGGTCTCGAGTGTGGTTGAGGGTTCAGGGTGAAAAGGGGATTAGAGCTTCGGGTCGGGGTGGATCACTAGCTCGCAGCGGTCTAGGGTTTAGGGTTTAGGGTTTAGGGTTTAGGGTTTAGGGTTTAGGGTGTCGCAGCCGTCGCCTGCCGATATACTACCCTGCCATTAAGGTTCGCCGGTGCCCCAGGCCCCTATCTGATATCTGAGTACCCACAGCCTCCGGAGCTATACTCCGTCGGGTACAACCCAGTAAGCGCCAAATCTCGGAAGCTAAACCCTAAACCCTAAACCCTAAACCGTGGTCTAAACCCTGTACCCCCAAAATCCAGAGGCCTGAAGCCTGAAGTCCGAAATCGCTGGTCCGAACCTCGAACCCCAAGGCGAATGGCTTGAAGTTTTACTACTTCGAGACACAAATTGCTCTGTAAACCTCTGAATTTATTAGAGGGTGCGTAGGATTGCGGAGCCTTCAGCTCACGGTCTTCGGTTTGGGGTTTAGGATAAAGCCCCAAACCCTCAAAACCCTAAACCCTAGCCCCCAGAACCCCTAAACCCTAACCCCCATAAACCCTAAACCCCAAACCCCTAAACCCTAGACCCGGTTCCCTACGCCCTAAACCCAAAAGCCGGGTTGATGGGTTTTTACGATGCTGGCTGGGTGCTTGTCGTTTGCGGTTTAGGGTTTAGGGTTCCAATTTTGAGCCACCCCCTCCCTAGCCCTGGAGGGCTTCACAGGATCCCTATGAGGGTTAGTGCTGTTAGGGCTTTGAGTTCAGGGTTTCGGGCTTAGGGCTTATACGGTTTAGGGTTAACTGTAAGCCGTCGAAACCAAAATCCGAATCGAGGTGGGTACCGGGCAGGCTGCGGACTCAGAGTTCTTGGAGTGTCTATAAGCTTCGCAGAAGCTACCTGGACCCTAAAGAAACTACCTTTTTAGGGCTCCTTGTTATGATTTCCTTATCTAAGTCCTGCTAACCCTAAACCCTAAACCCTAAACCCTAAACCCTAAACCCTAAACCCTAAACCCTAAACCCTTAAAGGAACCCTTATGGGTGATGAAGTCCTGCTAAAGTAGGTTCTCCTCGTAGGGATTTTCGAGGGTTTGGGGCCCGAAGGGGTTTGGAAAGCAGCGCGACGGAGGCACGGCGTGCCCGGAATAGTGAGTTAAGCCTAAATGCGTCTGTATCTTTTAGGGATTAGGGTTTAGGGTTTAGGGTTTAGGGTTTAAGCCTAAATGTGTATATCTTCTAAGATAGTTACTCTCAGCCATCAGCCCTACTTTAGTCCCTGAGTCTCAACGACCCCACACCCTGAACCTTGATCCCGGAAACCTTCCACCCTTTGCCAGTAAAATCCCAAACCCACCGCAAAATCCACCCTAAACCTTGTACCCGACAGCGCTAAGCTCTTATCTTGGATCGTCATCATCATCTCCGTCATCATGAACATCATTACCATCAGGTTTAGGGGATTGGGTTTAGGGTCTGCAGTATCGGCGGCCCCAAATCCCCCAAAAGCCTTGCGGAGTGCTAAAGCGATTTTTCTTCCGAGTCCTTTTTCGGCCTAAAAGCTCTGAAGTTAGTTGCCGAGCACCACTCCCTCTCCCTCGAACATGGCCCGGGCATTGCGCTCCCCAGCTTCAATGGGCGTCACCCAAAGGACCCTAAATACCTAAGAGCCTATGGGCTCAGGGTACTTGAAGGGTTTGTTTAAAGGTGTAGCGGCTTGTTGACAAAAGGGGTACCTGTGATTCCGGGCCAAGACCCTGTTCGGTAGGGTGCAATGTAGGAGCTTTAATAGTTAGAACAGGATTTTGGGGTCCAAGATACTATGATTATAATAAGGAGCCCCCCAAACCCTATTCTAGTTATTAAGGCCTCTACAGTATCTTGACTTTCGTTGCTTTCGGAAGCTCACACCATGAAGCCTAAACGAGTGTATAGTTCATAGCCCTGACACATTCAGAGCATCGTGCTTCTCTGTCAAATGCCGTCTCGCTACGGTTGGGGCTTAGGGCTTCGGGCTTTCGGATTTTTTGCGGCATTTAGCATTGCGGTGATTTCGAGTTTATGGCTTGAGAGATTTCATCCCAGGGTACGGGATTCGGGTTTGCAATTTGCAGTGTTTCGAAAATTCAACATTGTTCAACATAGGTGCCTAAAGCCCGACGAGCAGTCCACGAGGGGAGCTGAGGTGCGTTGCTTGGCTCCGCTGGATTCATCCTCGCCGTCGCGCAGCAGGTTAGTATCCCACAGTGGGATGAGGTAACGACCCAAGATGCAACTTTATCGCAATGAGTGGTTTACACCTGCTAGAAGCAGGAACAAGTTTTCAGCGAGTTGCTGCTCGTTTTGGCTCACACTGTTTGCAGCTGTTGTCCAGAGTCTGTACCAATGTAACCGCATTGTCATCATCCGCATAGCCGTCGTCACCGCCAGAACATGTGAATGAATCATCGTTGTCAGCAGAGGGGCACCCCGTTGCTCCACAACTCTTGATATTCGTGTAGTCTTTTAGCACAATGTACGGAAGGGGTTTTTGCGTCCTTAGGATTGAAGCAGAATAAAAGAAACGCCGCTCACATGGCAATATGCAAAGCCGAGGAGAACGTCTCCGCTGTTGAGAAGATGAATGTGCTGGAAGCTTCCTCGTGGGCTGTGCCAGAGCGTGTAGCAAGATGCCCCGTCCACCTCCCACCGGCCATTAACATTGCCGCTTGCCAGCAGCCATGGTCGTGGCTTTCTTCATAAGTCTATGTGCGTGTATGTTGACGTGGGCGCATGTACAGAAGGTCACACCGTAGATTTAAGCCTGCGCCCCAAAGCACAAACCCTTGAACCATCCAAAAAGCAAGCCCTAGTTAAAGCATAGCCTGCAGCAAAGAAGCTCCTACGCCAGGAATCGTCTATGGCCCATTTATGGCTGTGGGTTGCTGGGGTCTGAGGGTCCGGGGCTGTTGGGGTTTGGGGTTTTGGGCTTCAGGGTCTAGGGTTTAGGGTTCTTGGGCTTCAGG